GCCTGGTTAGGTGGCGAGAACATTTGTAAAAGCTGCAGCTTCAGCTCCGTCTAGTAGAAAAACGCCTCTTCGACCGAAGTGCCGCACGTAAGTGTCCATTCTCGTGCTCGACCACCGAGCTTGGAGATGGCTAGTGCTAAGCACTATTGCTTGGTCTGGAGCATGACAGACGCCATAGTAATCTTGGGCATCTCCCACTCAGAGTATTACATCCTCGTCATCCTTGCCCTCGACGGTCTTGATGCTCACCATGAGCGGCTTGGGTCTGGAGGAGTCATCCGTCGTCGACGGTAGCGTCATGGACGCAGTAAGCTTGAAAACGCATCTAAGCTCTCGCTGATCGCATCAGGTCCTTGTGAAGCGGGGTGTTGCACGCCCTTATGGCCAAGCAGAGACATCAGCTTTTCAAGCCCGTTCTGCATGCCCTGGGGCAAATAAGAGACTGCTCCATCCTCACAGAGAATCCGTCATAACGACTCAGGTTTAGACTCAGGTATAGATTGGTTACAAGTGCTACAAAGTGCAGTGAGGCTGCCGTAGCTCTTTCGCTTAGAGGAAGCTAAGCTAAGGTCGGTGGCCTTCGTTTTATACTTAGAATCAGAACGAGTGTGACGAATTGCAATCCGCTTATTCCAAGAGTAACCACAACCTTAGCCCAAGGCAAATAAACTCCTCTAATCAACATGTAAGCTATTTATTGGTCTTATTTGCAGCAAAGCCGTCTATATCTAAATCTATAGGTCTTCTTCATTATCAAGTAAAACCTAATTTAAATGCATAACTACTGACAGTCCAGCCCATCCAGACTTCTTGTTAAGGTGTAGCCACACCATTGTGTGAATAAAACTTCTTGTGTAATCCACATCCTTGTATGGTCACACCATATTGTGCGACCCACCCCTTTTTACAAGGGTACGTGTAATCCGTTACAAAAGCGCAGCCAAAAGGAGGGCGAAACTGCGTAGATGTGTGTGACCGTCAAAAAAATCGATGAAGAAGCTATCATTATTGCATCGATTATTGATGCGGAAGTACTGGATGAAAAAACATAGAAAGAGAATCCTCGGGATCATTCACCGGACGCTCATAAATTCAATCTAGCGGAGAGCTTATCAAGGGGTACAAAGGTATATTCTCTCACAAGGTGCCCGACGAACTGCCAATTGGCAGAGACAATCGTCATGAGCTTGACACACTACCAGTGCTGAAATCGGTCCCTCACAACAATATGATCTGTGATGATATGACTGGCAGGGCTTTTTTTAGTGTGATCAATCCAAAAGTTAGTTCTGTACAGAAACGAATGCGCAAAAAGTTGAAAGCACAAACTGTAGTCAATACTTTCAGTGGTATGCTGTGAGAATGGTTTGAGATGTCACAAAGTTTGAAGCACGCTTTCGCTACTTCAACAGAATAATCACGAATTCCTTCTCCATAAAGTGAGCTTGCTTTTGACTCTATATTCGTTCCTAGTAAGAAAATGGGCGAAGTAAAGTCTTTCAAGTTATGCGAGAGATTCATCTCTATGCTAACCGAAAAAGAACATTTTATATTGCACACGAGATTTTTGCTCTCGTTTATTGAATGGCGTTTGAGTAGATCCGGAAAAAGTTAAAGCAATCAATGACTGGCCTATGTCAAACAATGTGAAACAGCCGAGACAGTTACTGGGCTTGGCCAACTGTTTGCACAAATACACGCGCAATTATGCAGCTTTTTGCGCAACTTTTTATGACCCTTTCAAAGAAGTACGTAAAAGTGAAATGGACAGAAGATCATCAGGAGGTATTTGAAAAAGTGAAGGAGCGCCTGCGAGAAGCGCTTATTCGTCAGTTGTCAACCACGGCAAGCCATTTCATGTGGTCTGCGCCATAAGCGACTATGTCCTCGGCTGTGCGTTGATGCAATACGATGATGAGGTTCGAGAGCGAGTTGTTTCGTACCAGTCGCGATAAAATCGGCCCGCGGAGCTGAGCTATCCAGTTATTGACAAAGGGCTTTTGGCAATTAAGTATGCTTTGGTAAAGCTCTGGGTGCACTTCTCTTGGCGAGGAGCTCTTTGCGATCTATCAGGATCATGCCTTGCTGCGTACGGCACAAATTCTTTCTCATCTAAATCAGATGATGGCTCGATGGTTTTTCTTCGCGAAGCACAACTTAATTGTACACTACAAGCCGGGAAAGACGAATTTTCTAGCCGATGCACTGTCAAGACGCCCAGGCTATGACCCAAAGTCAGGAGCGAAATCATGTACATGTCATGCGATGATGTTTGGATCATTAGCGTGCTACGACTACAGTACGCGAATAATTTTCGGAGGGTACAAGTATGATGAGACACATCTGGCCTTTTTGAAGTAGGTCAATGACCTTTCCGATGAAACACTGCAAGTTTTCCGTCTCGCGCAAGATCGCGTGTCCATCAATCTGATTTCACTGTGGATTGCTGTACAATGCGGTTGGACAAGGGGGTCCAGCAAGGGCTGTTGTTCCAAATGACGAAGTTTTGCGACATCGTCTCCTAGATGAGTACCATGACAGCTTTTTGGGTGGTAATCTCACACGTGAAATACGTAATTTTCGCGGTATTAGATTTGGCCACACATGCATTATTAGGTGCGCAAGTATGTGAGGACTTGCAAGAGTTGCCAGAGAGAAAACCCGTTGGTTTAATTTCAAGGCACAACTTGAGGCGTTGGCAGTACCAGCCAAAAGCCGGAGGTCTGTGAGCACAGACGTCATATTTGGACTTCCACGTGGCATACATGAGCGCATTGGAATCCTTATGAAAGTAAGTAGTATATTTTACGCCTATTTCAGAAAAAAATCGTTGCCAATAAACAGCTAAAGGCTTTGTAGACGTTATTATGGGTCGGCATGGCCTCCTGGTGAGATCCTGTCTGACCGTGACCCCCGATTCACGTCGAAGATTTGGCGTGCACAGTTTGAAGTACTGCACACCAAACTGTCCATGGCAACAGCGGGAAGCCGTGAAACGGACGGTCAACTTGAACGTCCTGGGGGGGCTTAGTGCATATCTACGCTACGTCGTTTAAAGAGCGGAGTGAGATTCACTCTCTCACAGAGTATGCGTTGAACAACCCCACCCACAACTCGACAGGTAATTCGGCATTTTATGTTAGCTGCTTCCATATGGCCGAGGTCTCTACCTAATGGGAGAGAGACTATGGCTACGGAGCTATAGTCAGATCCCAATGCTTGCATTAATTCTAACCATATTTTTACCCAGGGAGACAACTAGACGACATGACAAGTCGTGAGAACAGTACGACAAGCCGTTGTGCGGTTCTATTTGAGAGGCAATTGCAAAATCTCAAGATTTGCAAAGAGATCAAGCAGATTAAAGAGAAATAAAGATCAGAAATGTGTGATAGGTCGATGATCGGGAACTACATAGGATGCCAAATCTGTCTGGAGAAGCGGTTTTCAACTTGGGAGCAGAAAGCTTTTGCCAAGATTCATAGCCTTTCGCGCTCTTTAGATGCAGTGGTGATGTTTCTACCCGAGCCATCCCTACACGCTCACGCCTACTTCCTGTAGTTTTAGTGGGGAGGCTAGATCCGTATCTACCGAAATATTTGCCAGTCCTTCTTTACGCTTTATAGATTATTGAGCTGACCATGAAGTTTCTCCACTTGACTGCGAATAGCAATCAGCACCACCCTGGATATTCTTCTCCGCGTACAGACGCTGAATGATATTAAGGAATTTAACCCTTACTGATATTTTCATGACAGCAGTAATGGTACTTACCACGAAATTTCTCGATAATAGAGCCTGTTTTCTTAACAGAGCGCAACAGGTGTTCATGGGCCAGCTTTCGAGACTTCTCGGCTTTCCAGATTTGATCAAGTTCAGTATTAAATGTTGAAATCGCAGCTCAAAACCCGACCCCAAAGCCAAGCATTTTGCGAAATAATGAGTCAGATCGTTAACTTTTGAGCTCTGCACTACAACAAGGTTTGAAAGGCTTTCACAGCGTTTTTTTAGCGTGCCGTAACGTCTTAAGTTGCCCGCAATGGGATCAGAGTCACCTTATCGATATTACGTTCAAGCCACCACTGTTGTTAAACAATCGTAGAGAGCGTCTTTGAATGGTTTTGACGATTGTCGACCACAAAGATCGATCAACTCGTCATCTCGGAAAGAATAGTTGAACCATAAACGTCTCTACAGAGTTTGGCGGCGCGGCTTGGACACGTGGGAACCTTGTCAGGCCATCGAGTTTGATATCTTCGACGTGGTCTGCAGCTACGAGAATTGCTTGTAGTGCTGCTAAAGGCAACACTACGACGACCAGGGCTAGGCTGTGCTTGGGCGCAGCTTGAAGTCGTGCATTGTTGGCTCGGCAAAGCAGCCGCCCCATCTTGTTCCTGTCTTCGAGGTAACCAGATGTTTGTCAAGAGTCCGGTTAAGCTGCGATGGGCTCGTTTGGATTATCACGATTGTTGATCTGACGTCAACAAACAGTCACAAGTATTTTTTTTTGTTTCCATCTTGCTTGAAATCAAGGTTCACGTCAAAGAGTTCTGAAACCGTTCTTTGCCGCTTAGGTGAAAACTCCTCTTCAAAAAATGAGTTGTTCGCATGATTGATACATTGCTGATTGGAAAGTGAGCTGCATTAAACAATCTGCAAAAGTATATGCATGTGGGGAGACCATACTGAAATCCCTTTGCTATAAACTCCAGCAATGCATGCAGAAGGTACATAGGTGTATTTTAATGTGCAGCCAATTGCATCATCCCTTCCTTAAAATCAGTTGATATCATCAATCAAGCCTTTATCATTTTGTGTCTTGTAAAATGCTGGTTTCTTATTGCGACTGAAGTGGCTCTGTGTTCTTAAGTGGGAGGCGAAAGCCAGTCGCTTTTGCTAGGAAATCCCAACGAAAGTTTAAGTTCAATTTTTCAAAAATCAAGCTTCGTATAACCAAGATCTTGTATGAGCTCAAGATGTGGTCTAACCTCAGTACACCTTTGAGTGTATAGATCAGAATTATATGAATCCAAGGTTTTATCGGTAAAACCTCTAGAAGCCCTTTGAGTGTTTTGCAAGTAGCTGTGGGAGCCATTAACTCAAATGAATTCAGTTGCAATTTTTCTCCAAGCTCTCAAATCAATCTTCTTCCCTCCAACAAGGGAGTGTTCTTCTCTTTAACCGCTTCATCATCCAACAAGCGTGTGTGTTGTATTTGAGAGACGGTTGTGAACCGCGGCCTCTTACAGTTTCAGCAGTACAGACACACAGAAAATTGTGTGCTTTGGGACAAGGAAAATGGTGAGCTTGGCATTACGGGCTTTTGTTGGTACAATCAGAAGAATACTATCACGTCTTACTGACACATCGACATGTGGCTGCTTCAAAATTGTCAGATAATTGCCAGACAACTGGGTCACAAGTCCCTGGTATGAAGGGGTGGGTCACACAAGATGGTGTGACCATACAAGAATGTGGGTTACACAAGACGGTGTAATTACACAATGGTGTGACTACACCTTAACAAGAAGTCAGTACATGGCTAGACCGCCAGGATTATTCATTTTAATTATGTTTACTATTTAGTCGGGCAAACCGATAGATAAAGATATAGGCAGCTTTGCCGCAAATAAACCAAGAAATACCACTTACATTATGAGCAGAAGCGTTTATTCGCATTGGGTTAAGGTTGTGGTTCCTCTTAGAATAAGCGGATTGCGATCCGTCACACTCGTACTGGATCTAAGTATATAACGAAGGCCACCGACCTTAGCTTAGCTTCCTCTAAGCGAAAGAGCTACGGCAGCCCCACTGCACTTAGTTTCTTTTGTAGCCAATCTACACCTGAGTCTACACTTGAGTCGTTATAAAAATGCACTGCTTGAGTACCTACAGCGGAAGATGTCGGCGTCGACTGCGTCTATGACGCTACCGCCGACGACGGATGACTCCTCCAGACCGGAGCCGCTCATGGTGAGCGTTAAGACCGTCGAGGGCAAGGATGGAGAGGATCTCATGCTCTGAGTGAGAGAGGCCAAGATTGCTATGGCGTCTGTCATGCTCCAGACCAAGCAATAGTGCCTAGCACTAGCCATCTCTAAGCTCGGTGGTCAAGCGCGAGAATGGTCACTTACGCGCGGCACTTCGGTCGAAGAGGCGTTTCTCTACTAGACGGAGCTGAAGCTGCAGCTTTTACAAATGTTCTCGCCACCTAACCAGGCATATCGCGTGCGATCGCGTTTCTTGTCGCCCGACAGGACAAGAAGAATTCGTGGACATTGTCCAAGAGTTGTGTACTCTCATTGCCGGTTTGGCAGCCAATCCCCTTCCCGAGGCGGTCAAAGCGTCCGTCTTTATAGAGGGCCTCCGCACTGGCGTGGCCAGAATGGACGTCTTCCGTGTGCATCCGTCTCCTCTTAAAAAAGCAGTGAATATGGCATTGAACGCCGAATTTAACTTTAAGACGGCACGACTTGGTTGGAGTGCAAGATCTAGCTGCTCGTCGAGCGGACCTGAGCCGACGGATCTCAGCTATGCAGAGTAAGAGGACATAGAGCACCGAGCTGCCGAGCAGCGTTCGAACACCCGACGGTGTATTTCTGTGAAGACACCCGTCAATTTTCGGACTTGCTGTCCCCTACGCAAGGCGCGTCGAGGTTCATCGAACAGACTTCCTGCTTTTTACCAGTCTTCTGGTTCGTCGCGGGAAAACGACAACATCCAATAGGCGCGGGGTACCTTACTGGGGAACAACTGAGTTTTGTTGAGCCGCAAAGAGGTAAAGGTCAGCAAGGCTCAGCCCCGAAGAGCTCCGTGCTCTATAACACGGAACGTGTATGCAAGTCGGGCTTGCTGGTCGTGAAAGCGACTGTGAAGGGCTTTGAAAAGCCATGGAAGATCCTGATCGACTCCGAGGCGTCGGACAATTATGCTCGAAGCACCACAATGTAAAGAAGTCAGCTATATGCTGAGGCGTCGAAAGCGCGGTTGAGTGACTTATCGTCACTGTTCGCTTAGCGACGGGGACATGCGTCACGGTGCCGGGGGTTGCTGTGGACCTCAGTGTCAAGTTTCTTGACTTTGATAGCGTGAACCGCTGCTTAGTCTTAGACTTGGACTCAATACATGGCATGGTTGGAACACCATAAGTAACGGACTGATTGGAGGTCGAACACCTTGGGCGCTACGCGCATGTCTCCTGGTGGAGCTTTGGTGAGTCACGAACCCACCTCTGCTAGGAGACAAATATCTATTGGCGTGGGCACTGGTCCGGAGCGGACAACGTGCTGAAGATTGGAGTATCCGAGTTGTCGAACACCGAAGGTGTATCGGACAGGAATCCCGAGCATGACTCGCGGGTTGAACGTGGAGTGGTAAGTAACCCACTGAGCACTGCTCACGTTTCGAAGCAGTCGCTGCATACCACGAGTGGCATGGTCAGACGAGGTCCGAGGCCTCAAGGGCGAGGCCTCAGTGATACACATAGAGTGGCACGTTACACACTGAGCACTGCTCACGTCTCGAAGCAGTCGCTGCATACCACGGGTGGCATGGTCGGACGAGGTCCGAGGCATCTTGGACAAGGCCCTTCAAATGCGCGTGGAGTGGCACGTTATCTACTGGACGAAGACTGCGGAGCTGGCAGCTCTTCATCGGATGTTGATAATAACATTAGGGCTTTGGTGGAGCAGGAAGTGGGGCTAACACTGGACGACGCTGAGTGCGTGTTCCCACTGGTCTCGCCGAGACGTACAACCTCTGTAAAGAGGCGACGGCGATACCGTATTCTAGCTGCAAGACGTCGGGCGATGACCTTGACCTAGGATGTGTCTACCGTAGACGATAGCGCACAACTATACACCCTCGTCAACGGTATGACGGGGGAGGATGACGGCGATG